TCAACCTTAAGACAAAATGTTCACTTGCTGCCTAATATATCCCACCCACTGACAGGTGCCATGATAACCAGATAATCAATAAGTATTATTCACGTCACCAGTCAGTGCTCAGAATGTTATGGCTGATCAGTGTATATTGAAGCCATCATCTGACACAGCATGTAGATTATACGATGCTAACACTGCCACTTGGAGCATCAGTTTAGTTAGTTCAGTTAATTCAATTGAATTCAAGTCAGTTCAAGTCAGTTCAACCCACCCCAAGTATATTTTATTTGTATAACGCCAAATCACAACATAAGTTATCTTTTCAAATAGAGCAGCTCTAGACTGTTTCCTAGAGACCCAACAATTCCCACCATGGGTAAACACTTTTTGTGCCAGCGTCGGTAATGTACTGCAAGTTGGGCTGCTCTTATTGGCTGCCCTTAACTTTAACTCGTCCGTATCAGGAAAGAATGGTGCCTTGCCTGATCACATGTTCTCATATTACGGAAAAACTGTGCATTAAAATATATTTCTATTAAGATTTGAGCAGAAACATAGTCAATACAGTAACAGAATCTTGATTCATATTTGATCAGCACTGCCTAGTTTGACAGTTAGATCTGAGTTTTGTGCGCCATACTGGATGGTTGGTAGATGCAAACTGCTGCTGGATAAAAGGCAAAAAGTAATATTCAAGAGTAGTCATGATAAGCATGATTATAATCTAGCAAGAATTCAAACATATTTAGGTAAACCACTCTCAGAATGTCCAGTTATTTTTGCAACACATACAGCTTTCAGTAGGCTGGTATTCATTATATCTACAGTTTAATCAGCAAACTGCATCACACCAATCATAGCACTTTAATGTACATATGTGTTCCTGGTCAAGGTGCTGAAGTGTTCATGGTGCAGAATGCATGCTTCAACCAGCTGTCCTTACTGCACCCTACAGAGTCTCACACGCATCAAACACTTATTTCTGCATCATGGTGTTTTTGTGCAATTGAACAATTGGACCTAGCAAATAGTGTTATCTTACTGAGATAAATTAAATAGATTGCATAACCTGAGGCCCCAAAGCCATGCTTTGGTGATCATATTTTCATAATATTTGCATCATTTGCGTAGTATTTGCATAGTATTTGCATTCTGACTCTTAGCTGGCCACGGCTGCATGGTACAGTTGTGCAGGGGGAAGCCCACTGCCTGTTATTCATCACACAACCAGGAAGCAACTGCAGTGGGCCAAGAGCCTCCAGCTACAGGGAGGGTAACAATACCGAGAAGCTACCAGGCAGCTACACTAAAATGAGCAGCTGAATTCACAGTCACTGAATTGTGCAAAAACCCATTTGTCTTCTCTTTGTTCCCATACAGTTCAGGCAATGTTTTACCTAATCTAAAGGTAGAAAACAAAAGAAAAAAGTATTGAATTTGTGTTGTGTCTGGGAGGTGACATCAGACAATAAACATGTGGTAGATGTCACACCAATTTTGATGCTGCCACAGCAAAATCATATGAGGTGTAAATTTAAACTTCATTTGGAGTGGCAGAACTCATCAACTAAAACTCATTAAAATCAGTACCCTTGAAAAGTGCCTGCAGCAGGACTGGTGGCCACTACAGACTAGTAGAAAATCTGTAGTAGCCGAGTGCACACGTTGAAGGACCTGAGCCTCCTCAGAAAGAACAGCCTGCTCTGTCCTTTCCTGTAGAGGGCCTCAGTGTGGTCTGTCCAATCCAGTTTGTTGTTGAGTGTCACCCCCAGGAACATGTAGGTGTCCACCATCTCTACCCCTCCCCCTACCCCCCAACAGCTTCCAGGATATGACCAAGTCCAACAGATTCCAAACTGTTGCAGCAACAGCACACCATTAACCTGCTGACCCAAACTGCAAGCAGATAAAAACAAAGGAGACAATGCAGACACACATAGTGTAACATATGCATCCCCTCTTGTGCACACTTTGATAAGATAGCATTCATTTCTCTATGCTTGTTCTGTCTGTCTGGGAAAACTACAAGGAATGTGCAATCACAGTATTCTCTCGCCGCCACAGACAGGCAGCTTGTTAGCTAGTTCATTCCTGCCCATACAGGCACATTAGAGGGCTTGGCCTATTAAACTTTAACTCTGGCATGTGGGAAAGGTTACTCTTAAAAGCTGCAGGGCCAAACATTGTGTCAGTCAAAACAGGTTTAGGACCTTTTTGGATGAGAAACACAGACCATATTTACAATTTGTTTCTATATATTAAAAACACTTTTAACAGTGATAAGGCACTCCTCAAAGTCTTTACATCTCAGCGAGGAATGCCTTTAATATAGGTTATTACCCTTTATTCCTACTTTTCTAACTTTTAAAGGCCAGCTTCGGATCTAATCCCTCAGTAGATCAAATGGCTCATTTTAAGGTAATGTAAACACAATGATTATTATTTTTAGTTTTTCTACTGATGAAAACATACATAAAATTAAAGCTGCAAGCTGCGTTAGGCGGGACCTCGCACTCCACGCCATTCGGGGCGTGCTGCGGCCGCGTCACGTGCCATCGTTACACGTGCGGACCAAAACATGAAATTTCAGGTAAATCAGCTCAAAATTGCCATGCAGCGCTTACTTCCTGTTTCCAGTAGGTGGTGCTATCACTATGTCTTAATATTGTCATGTAGACAAGTTCAAGGCAAGAGTGTTATCAAACATGTGAAGTTTCATTGAGATTGGACCACGTACGCTGAAGTTATGAGGACGTGTTCAGGGCAAAACTGTTTCAGAATATTTTAAGTTTATTGGAGAATGGACACTGCACACTGAAGTTATGAGCACTATTTTATGGCGAATCTACTGACAAGTTGTCACTGGCACTGGCCAACTTTGACCTCATGCCACAGACACGCCGTTCAACGTACAGTCTCAAATAGCACAACTTTTAATCAGCACCATTTTTTGACTGTATTGACCAATTTTGAAGTAGATCCGATAAATTCCCTAGGAGGAGTTCGTTCAAATACAAGGCGAAAAATTCACCGAAAATGCACACGGAATTCAAAATGGCCAACTTTTACGGCACGCCACAGACACGCCCTTCAACGTACATGCACAAATAGCACAACTTTTAATCAGAACCATTTTTTGACCGTACTCGCAAATTTTGAAGCAGATCTGATAAATTCCCTAGGAGGACTTTGTTCAAATACAACGCGAGAAGTTCGCCAAAAGTGAAAATGAAAATCAAAATGGCCGATTTCCTGTGGGGTTTCGGGTATGGGTCCAAGAGGCTTTTTTGTACGTCCCGGCATGTTACACGTGCCAACCGAGTTTCGTACATATCGGTGAAACGTGGCTCTGGGGCTGCTTTTTTTTTATCCTGTAGGGGGCGCTACAAACACGATTTTTGGTATGTGAGCTTCAGGCACCACTCTACACGTGCCCTGTGAATTTCATATTCATAACTATTATGGTCCCCGCACAGTGATTTATCATGCCAAAAGAGCGCCACCTAGTGGCAGATTTTTTTTGTCCTTTTTAAGTGAGCCTCAGGGAGCCATGGGCAATCATCGCACCAAGTTTCATTTTAATCACACGTGCAGTTATAGAGATATAAACTTCTTCATTTTAAAGAGCGCCACCTAGTGGCAGTGACCTGAAATTGTGCACGATGCCTAAAAAGACATGAGTAACTATGGACCCAAGTTTGGTGACAATCAGACATAGCAATGTGGAGAAATGGTCCACTTCCTTTTTTGACGAAAAATCCACAGGAAGTGTTAATTTTATAAGGTGCTAATTTTTTTAGTATCAAAATTCTTTGAATTCCTTTTTTATTAGGACGGTCCCCACATGCTACGTGAAAGATTTTGTGCGAATCGGACAAAGCGCATGAGAGGAACACGGAAAAGTAGTTTACAGACATTTCGCGCTCTAGAAAAAAAAAAAAACTTGGCGGAAGTGGGCGGGGCTTACATGGGGAGATTCAGCTCTAATTACCGAACGCGTGGATACAAGGTTTTTGAATGTGCGACAAACTATGCAGAAGTTATTAGCCTAAACGTATTTTTTATGATAGTAGCACCACCTAGTGGCCAACCTGAAAGCGAATAGAATATCCACATTTTCACCAGGCCTGACAACTTTGCCAAATAAAATTGAGTTTTCGTATACGTTCAGGGGGGCAAAAATGCAGTCAAATGGGGCTAAAAATAATAGGTAAGAAGAAGAAATCGAGCAAAAACAATAGGGACCTCCAGCGGTCGCTGGCTCTGTCCCTAATAATATTATATTAAATTTCTTGCCAATAGATCCTCCTAAATTAGGGGTCAGTAACCTGCACTGTCAAAAGAGCCATTTTTAGCAAAAAATATGTAAAGCTTCCTGGAGCAGCAAAACATATTTGAGGCTTACAATGCTAATATCTAGCTTACCTGTAAGGTGTGGTGAAAGCAAACAAATCTGTCCATGAACTATTGAATTATCTTTTTATCTCAGAGACTGGGGATTTGGAATCCATAGCCTAGTAAGGGAGACTTGTAATCTAATAGCCAGCACTACTGAGATTCAGCAAAATATAGAGGAAAAGGTGCCAAGTAACATACGATGCACAGAACTGGTAGCCTTATATGGCAATTTTAGCATTGATCATGCTCATCATGAAATCACATAAAAGTTCACCTCCTCACAGGTGGCATCAGCAGGGTAGTGCAGGATATCGTAGGTATACAGCATATACCTACTTATTCTTCAGTCTGCATTGGGTATACCCACTTCTGAATCTCCTCTGATACACATCATTCAGTAAAGTTCTGCAAGCTGTTTTTTTTTGCAGGATGGGGAAGGCAGAAGTTAAGTGACAACGTGAAAATACAACTGGCCCTTTTTCAGTAAGCTTAATATGCAACAGTGGTCTTACATGTCATTGTTTATAACACAGGTTGTCCTTGGTTGGACAGGCTGCTTTAAAATAAATTGGTATACCCACTCCTCCAGGCACCACAATTCGAAATCTACTTACTTTATATCTCTGCAAAGGTGGCCAGTCATGGCATGAAGTGCATGTGGATGTCGATCGTTGGTTTCCTAAAGTTACAGAAATCAGGTTTCTAGAGTATAAATTGACCTGTGTTAGCCACATTACAGGTTTCTTCTTTCCTTGCTGTAAAATCCAGTTTCTTAAGAAAGCTGTGTGTGAATGACCCAAACATTAAAATATGTGTTTGTCCAGCAACACCTGACCTCCCACCCTGAACTCCTCCACCTCATTTCAGCCCACTCATTCCAGACAGCTTAGAGAGGAGAACTGTATTTGCCCTGTTTGATATTTGATCTGATTGGTCAAGCCATCCAACCCCAGTCTCTCTCTCTCTCTCTCACTCTGCTGCTCTGTCTCTTTGCCGCTGAGTGATAAGTAAGCCTGCTGGAATTCGGGAGTTGTGTTTCAGCAGCATTTAGTCTGTCTGGCATTCTAGAGACACTGACACACTATACTCATCCCTCTCTCTCTTACCTCTGCTGCAGCTGACCAAAACACATGTCTCTGACTGCCCAGTACAATCAGTGGCTGCTTACTTAACTTTATATAGCTGCTTTTCACAGAGCCTGGACTCACCATTCACACAGTTCCTTGAAAAATCATGAGACAATTATACCTTTTTTCTCTGTATCTTGACAAAAGTAGTGCCAAATCACAGCTTTAAAGTTCCCATGAACCAGCTAGCAGAGTGCTATTTGATTCCATATACTGACATGAAGCTAGGAGAGGGACTTGTCACAGATACTGACACTCAATCAGTTAAATGTATTCATGATTATACAACACAAGGTTTTTATAACCAAATTAACGTTTGTAGTTCCTTCATGTTACACACATAGGAAACAATAATCAAATTCATAGATAACATATAAGATAATATAAGATAGATAAAATAGAATGAAGTCCAATAAAACACCTTATTATTATATATATTATTGTTATTTATACACATATACGTGTGTCTCATCTGCCTCAGAGACAGAGATGCACATCCTTACTGTAGACCAGTGGTTCTCAATTATTTTCTGTCATGCCCCCCCTAGGGGACAGACATTTTTTCACGCCCCCCTGAATTTTAATACTATTGAGAACCTGATAATATTTATCTGTACAAACCACTGTATGAGTTGCTGGCACCAGCATTCTGCATACAATCACCTGATTATCAAAATAGGAAATGAGCTGAGATAACATCTGCAGCAACTTAAAACAATTTCCAAGTTCAGTTTATTAACTCAATTTGTAACATTTAAAAAAGACTGCTCAGTCTGTGTGATTCTCTAAACAGAGAAAAAAGTGCAAATGATTCACTGGGATGTGCATTTTTATAGACTTAACACAGTAACACAACTTTTTTTAATTGTAAACATTGGTCACCCTTCAACTTCATCACCTTATTCCTTTTCAAAAAGGTATATGTCTTTTTAATGTTTGGTTTTTTTTGTGCAAAATTTGCAACAATATTGCTTATATTTAATGTTTGTATGTTAGATGTTCTGTGAGTTGTTCTCGGAAGTCGTCTGAAATGTCAAATATACGTCTCCCGATCGTGTCAATGGGAAGAGACAGTATTCAGTGTTTGAGCACTTTTCTCACCTAGCATGCTATTGTGTGAGCTTCTTTTGCACCTTGTGATGTGGCGGTGTTTGTACGAGGCGAACGGTGCGTTTTTATTTACTGATGCCGTGCTCACAAAATGGCCGGCCTGTTGGCGATACTCATCGAGTTTTCAATGAAAAAAGTCCAGTGGCTTATTGACTGATGGTCTCCAGGTGACGTCTTAATTTGTTTGGTTTCATGCTGTCATTTCCGACCGTATTCATGGTAAACCCAAAGGCAGGCTTCATCGTATTTCCTGGTCTTATTAAGTTTATGCCGGTTACCGTTACTTGCTTTTCTTGCCTCTGACGCCTCCTCTGTTTTTCTTTTTACTCCTGTCAGAAACTTCTCCATCTCTCCTCCTCCGTCAGTCCCCCTCCGCCTGTCGCGCCCCCCTGACACCTCAGGCCCCACTATTTGAGAAGTACTGCTGTAGATCCATCACACCATGGACACAACTTGTTCCAACTTGCACTGTACGCCCAAATGAACAGTTTCTACCCACAGGCCATCACTCTGATTAACTGTTAACACCAGACACACAGTGGCAGGAACAATCCATGTGTGACAACCCTGTGACACAAATCCACTGGCCATTATTTATTATCATTGTTTTTCACTATGTTTATATACATATATGTGTGTGTGAGCAACAGAAGAATAAAATTCACATTCACAGCTATGTCACAGATACTATTCACGACTTTTTTAGCAAACTAACACAGTTTACTGTAGAGCTTACATTACTGTCCCACTCTCTGATGCTTTTAAGTGGAACCTGATTTAAGACATATATATACAAGACATATAACAATCTGCTTGGAACAATAATTTATGTCTGTTGTGTTTTACTATAAAGTATAATTCCCACATTAAAATCCTTAAATAAGGCATGTCCTCCTTCTACCTCATTAAAAATTCCAGAATCTGTGAATATGCAAATGGTGTTAATTTTGTTTTCACACAAGATGTCAAGTCCATTCTCTGCTTATGTGCACTGATGGCTTCAAGCTTCTACTTCACACTAGGCACCGCACCTTAAAATCAGATTTTTAATGAGCACAGAGAAACTTTCCTCAGCAGATAAATATGAAAACATCCTTCTAGTGTCAAACTCTGAACATACATCATTCAAACATTACACTGAAGGAACAAGATGAAACACTGATTTCTGACAGAAGGCGGACTTTAAATTGCCAGTTTGAAGAAAAAGTTTTATTTGTGTGTAAAAGCGCTTTGAATGGTCGGAAGACTAGAACGGCACTATACAAGTACAGTCCATTTACCATTTGTGTCTGTGTGTCCCAGCTGTAGTGATAATGCTTTAAACTTCAGGCCAACACCTCCAGTTGACTGCAGCAGGATGCAGACCAGAGCAAATGCTGCTTTTTGGCAGCAGCTTCATCTTCCACTCCGCTAGCAACAAATGTAAGTACGTCAACACAAAATCAGCATTAAACAGACAGTAGGTGAAAGTTTGCTGGACTCACTTGTTCAGATAGAAACAGTCAAGTTTAAACCATAAATATTTCATATTTATAATATTGCCTGTTTGACAAATCATGGTTTTGATTGACACATTTCAGCCTTTAAATAGTCTTTAGTGTGCTGTCTTCACACAATTCTCATTACAGTCATTATTGATGACAACATTCACAAGAACTCCAATAGATCCCATAGTTTCTTTGTCTCTCTGCAGCAGGCAGTGTATGTTTGGACTATGTTTTTGGACTGAACCCACAGCAGCTCTGAAAGTCATTAAAATCTCCACAGACACACAACTGGCTTTCATTTTGTCATTATGGCCCCAATGAAGGCCCTGATTGTTAGAGGGGAGCCTCAGCCAGTGAAATAGTGCCATGGAGGGGGAGGGAAAAAAGGATGACGGAGGGACCACACATGTCTTCATGGACAGGGAATCTCCCGCTAACCCATGGACTTTACTGAGGCCTGTGGGAATCAGCTGCCTCTGGAAAGTGGTGCTGGAGAGTTTGTGCAGTCTCTCAAAATGTGTTCTTAAAAATGTTTGAGCGAGGGTTTCTGTGTTGTATCTCTTCCAGTGAGTTTCTGATGCATTGTCTAGACATGGTTATTATTCAAAATTGACTTCTTGGAATGGATTGATCCTAAATGGCTTCATAGGAGGAAGGACTGGGGTTTATGTAACAGCCATAGTTTTTTCACTTTAGAATGTGCATGTTCACCTTTATTTAAAAAAAGGTTTGGCCTGTGAAATATTGGAAGTTGCCAGGAGCGTTCTCTGTCATCCAACTTAAGGCCCTGATATACTCTACTTCTATATATAGTACATTGAGTCTCTGTGTACACATACATGTTGCACTTGTTCATACAGTCATACATTGTGGGCAGTGTGCAGAATTTGTGGACATCGTGGACATGACCCACAAATGCAGACTGTGGCCTATCATTTGAGCTTAATGCATGTTGGGATAGGCTGCAACTTCACCATCCCCACCACCATTATCTTGAATGGGGGCGGAGCTACCAGCATGGGCCATCAGACCTGCTTATCAGATGGTTGAAGCTTCGGAAAAGTTTAACCTGGCCCAACTTTTGCGGCTACCCAATACAAGTTCAGTTCAATTCAATTCAATTTTATTTGTATAGCGCCAATTCATAACAGAAGTTATCTCAGGACACTTTTCAAATAGAGCAGGTCTAGACCGAACTCTTTATAACAAGTTCATCCAGCAAGGTGCTGCATTGGCCAATGAAATACATGCAAGCGCACATTCCTGGTAAATTACTGCAGTGTACATTGTGTATTGCTACTGTTTACAGTTTGCTACAGCAGTCATTGCAATTATAACCAGTGGCTGACTCAGGCAGTTTGACAATTGACTTGTCTCTGTACTTGTATTATCAGAATCAGAATCAGAATCAGAAATACTTAAATAATTATTAGATCTTAGTGCCGCATTTGACAACATTGACCATAATATTCTTTTACAGAGACATGAGCATCAAATTGGCATTAAAGGACCTGCACTAAGCTGGATTGCTTATGGATAAATCCTCCATAAATACTAAAGTTAGTCATGGAGTTCCACAAGGTTCTGTACTTGGACCAATTCTATTCACTTTATATATGCTTCCCTTAGGCAATATTATTAGTAATCACTCCATTAACTTTCACTGTCATGCAGATGATGCCCAGTTATACCTGTTGATCAAGCCCAATGAAATTAATCAGTTATTTAAGTTACAAGCACGTCTTAAAGACATAAAAAAAATGATGCTAAACTCAGAAAAAAATGAAATTCTTGTACCTGGCCCCAAACACCTCCGAGACTCACTGTCTAAAGATATAGTTACTCTAGATCAGGGGTCTCCAACCTTTTTTCCTCTGAGAGCTACTTTTACAAAATAAAAATGGCCGAGAGCTACTCATGTTTTGTAACATTTATACTCATCGCTCATTTCGAACAAACAAACTCAATAAGCTTTCCTTTCCTGAACATTTACAATATGTTTCTGTCCACATCATACATTCTGTATTAAAACATCACAAAAATATTATTATTATTATCATCATTATTATTATTTAGTGCTGTCAAACAATTAAAATATTAAATCGCGATTA